TGTGATAAGGGCTTTGGTGAAGGTAGGGGAGGGTGTGGTAAGTCGGGTATGGGACGTCCTGGAGGGAAGAACTAAACAGAATTTGACCAGTGATTAGCAGGGAGTCCAGGGAAGGAAGAAAAAGGACAACATAGCCAGACAGCAGATAAAGGGGAAAACACTATGTGAAAGAGCACAGTGAATCCTAGAGCCTGTGAGTCTGCATATTGAGTGTGATAAAGGGGTGGGTGACAAATGAATCCGGAAAGGTAGGCTGTGCCCCTCTGAGAGATTGATGGCTCTGAGGGAATTCAAGGATGAACAAGACAGGCTCCACATGCTCATGGAGCCAGAGTCTCAATGAAAGAGAAGACGGGCATACTAACAGTTACATGACAATCTGGGAGAAACCATACTGCTTTTCTCGTCAGGCCACAGGACCAGAGTTCATGGGCATGTGGTCATCAAAGTTCTTGGAATTGACAACTTTTTCTGATCTTTTTGTCAACAAGCTGAAAATATGTGGGCTACCTGTTACTTTGGTTAAGTTGAATCCTAGTTGGCTAGATGAACTTTACTGGAGAATAATGATTATGGGTTGAAGACAACCTGAGGAAAATCTTTAGTGCTGAGCTTCCGGCACTACGGTTTTTGTTTTCTTGAGGGTTTTTTTTTTTTTAATACCTTTTACAATACATCTGGCATGCTAAGGGAACAAGTTACAGAGCTAGTCTCCTTTTCTTACCAAAAAGCCAACAAGATACATCTGAATCACAGCAAAATGCAGTAATAATTAAACATAAAATAAGCTTCCAGAAAAAAGGATAATATAATAAATATTTAAAAGTTGAAAATCACTTAAACCCCAAGTGTACAAAAAGTTATTTTACTGTTTTAGTAAGATTAGCTTACCCTCAAGAAAATACTGGAGACAGTAGATAAGAAACCTTGGCTCTGACTGGCGTGGCTCTGTTGGTTGAGCGTCCTGCAAAATGAAAGTTCAGAAGGTTGCCAGTTCGACGTCCAGTCAGGGCATATGGCTGGGTCCCAGGTCTGGCACATGCAAGAGGTAATTGACTGATGTTTCTCTCTCACATCAATGTTTATCTCCCTCTTTCCCTTCCGTTCTTTCTAAAACTAAATAAATGAAATCTAATTAAAAAAAAAAAAATCGAAACCTTTGGACCAGAGGTGTAGCCCATCACAGTCTGGAGGAGGGAGCTATTTCGTGCTGGCTGGTGAGGATCCAAGAAGAAAAGATGCTTCAACCATTTTTTCCTAGGCATTCCGACTGGTCTTGCTTTCTTGTGTGTACACTTAACATGTCTTCATTACAGTTTTATCGTTATTAGCTTGGTCTGTTACACTGTTAAGTAATACTGAAAGCTGCCACTTTGGAGAATTTGCTGGAGGGATGGTGGGAGAGGCCATGCCACTGCTCCTGCCTTACCCATCCTCCGGTTTCCCCTCCACGTTTCCACGTCAGGCATCCAGATGTTTATACCTGAGAGAACTTTACAGCAGTGAGTCCCGTTAGAGATGGAATGGTGGTGGGTGGTGAGCTCAGAATGTAGTCGGATTGGGCTACATTCTGATCCCCCGTGGGAGGGTGAACTAGGGGCACTGGTAAGAACAGTGGTTAGACCCATCCTGTAAGGTCTCGCCTGACATTGAGGCTATAATTCCATGAATCAGATGCCTGGCCTACTAAGCTTGAGTCATAGGAGTTCAGATTGTGTGCTGCTTTCAGGAAAGTCTTCCTGAAGGAAGACACAATTGTTTAAGCCTGGTGGGGAAGGCATGACCATGCTGTATCCATCTGTAAGGCTGCACCAAAGTAAGGAAGTAGAAAGCTGGGAGGGGCAGGCATGCAAAAATATCTTTGTACCTGAAATTGAAGTGTCCCAAGGGGTGGGTTGATGAAGTCCAGGTTGGGTCTGAATCGGGCTCTGGCTTTGCCATATCCTAGATGGGAAGCCTTGGGCAAGTTAATTCACCTTGTTCACTAAGCCTAGATTTTCTCACTAGTCACTTGAACCAAACCTTCACAGGGTTTCTGTGTAGGTTCCACAAGTTACAAGCATGGAATCCAGAGTCTGGCACTTGGAAGGGTTCAGTAAAGGAACACATTTCATTTCTCCTCTTTCAATCTCCCGTGTCAAGACGTCTCTCTTTTCTCCTCTCTGGGCCAGTTTCTCTGGATGGTTGGTGCTGGGGGCGCTGCGACAGAGAGGACTTGGCAACCTCAGCAGGGGCGCAGCCTTCCCCCCCACCCCGCCCCCCCGCCCCCGTGCACTGCGGGAAGTGCCTAGGTAGGATCTGGGAGCTAGCCAGCTGCAGACAGGTATTTCCAGTCCGGCTAGAGGAGAAATGGGCGGGGGTGGGGATAGGGATGAGGGAGGAGATCAGAGGAGTCCGGGAGCTGGGTGGATCCCCTGGGAGGAGGGAGGGGAGTCCTACTCCCTGCTGGGTGCTCCTGCCCCAGGCTCAGATTTCACCTCTGGCTGCAGCTTCTGGGGCTCTCTAAACCGTTTAGGGGAGTGGGGGTGAAAAAGACAGCACACCGGAAGGAGGGCGAGCACGGAGCCAGAGGAGGGCCGGCCCCAACGACTCCCGGAGCAAAGGCCCTGACCCACCGCCCCTCCGGCGCCTTTTCACTGCTGGTCGTACCACTATCCACCAGAGGGCGACCTGCCCACACGCAGCCCAGTCCCGCTCGGGGAAAACTACAAGTCCCAGGCCTCCCGGGGGTCGCACCCGCTTCCCCACCTTCTCAGCCTCCATTGGCCGCCGCGGGCGAGGATTGGCGGTCTCCAGGGCGACGGGAGGCGCTCCGGGATTCCGAGCGGGAGGCGGTCCGCCCCCTATTGTGTAGCGAGTGGAGGGGAGCAAAGCTGCTCAGAGCAGGTGAGGGCGTGGGCGTGCTAGAGGGGATGGAATGGGAGTACCGTCTGGGGAATAAAGGTGCCGGAGTCAAGGGGACGGGAGAAAAACGGCCGAGTTTTGCAGAGAAGCGGAATTCTCTGGGGCGCAGAACTAGGGGAGTTCTGGGGAGCAAAGTGGAATTCTTGGTGGGTGGGTGCTCCCTGGGAACTGGAGGAGTTCTGGAGGTAATGCGCGCGCTCGTGTGTATAGTGGGCAGGCTCTTGGTGGGTTCCAAAAGCAAGGAGTTCCAGAGGTCTGGAGAAGGCGAGGGCGAAGGAAATTGGGGGTGGGGCATCAGAAGTGTATTGTGGGCGGAGGCAGGAGAATTATCGGGAGGGAAATTCCGGGGAGTAGTGGATGGGTGCGTGGGTGGGTGGAAATTCTGGAGGACACGGGGAGTTCCTTGAAGTGCAGAGGACCTGATACAATTGGAGATCAGGTTCGAAAAATGGGCTTTTGGGGAGGTGGGACTATGAGAAGTAGAGAGAACTGGAATGGGGATACTGGCAGAATGAAGGAGTGCTGAGTGGAGAAACCAGACAAGTGAAGACATGCGGGGGGCAGAGGAGTTGGAAAATTTTTACGAAAAGCAGAGGAATTCTGGGAAAGCCTGGTTTGCTGAGGTTTTCAGACAACTGAGCCAGAAGAGAACTGGGGGTTCCTCTGCACTTGGGAAGAAATTTGTTGCTGAAGTATGGGAGACCTGGCTAGGAGTAGTAGGGAGCAAGAGGAGTATTTTCCCATGCGTTGTCAGGACCCACAGGGCCATTAAGTGGAGGGAAAGGTCAGGCTGAGAGACTTGGGGGATGTTTTATAGCCAGAGGGGAACTGCCAGGCCAAGAGTGGGGTGGAGACCAAGAGCAGAGTCCACTTGGATTTGCCAGGCCCAAGACAGCACCCCACGCCCAGCCATTACCCTCCATTCGCAGGCCTTACCCTATGGACTCATGGCTCTTTTGGGATTTCATAGAGCATGCCTGTAGGGCTGGAGAAGGGAGATCCTGTAAATCCTGGGTATGGAGGATATTGGAGGCAAGCCAGTGGCAGCAATTAGGGTGAAGCACTTGGGTCAGGGTGTCTAGTGAGGGAGGCTGCCTGGCAGCATCATGAAGAGAAAGTGGCACCAGCTTCGAGCCCTGGGACTTGCTCAGACCTGGAAGGTGCTGCCTGGGTCCCTAATGGTGGGGGAGGCAGCTCTCCCTTTCCCAAGTAACTGACTTGCTGCTAAAGCAGTATTTGGAGGCTGAACAGAGAAAGAGGCACTGGTCCCCAGCTTCCAGGGTTCACAGAGTTCAGGGAAATGGAGCAAGGAATTGTGGGGGAGTCCCCTGGGGACCACTTTCAGGGAGTTCTAATCCATGCTTTGCCCTTGACTGGCTCTGTGCCCCTGAATGAGGCTCTCTGAGACAGTTTCAAAGTCCTTATTTGTCACCAAGGTGGTGGAGACAATACTTGTTCTACCTCCTATATGACACTTTTTTACTAGAATCAGGATTAAGGAAAAGAGAAGGAAGAGGCTGGGTTGTGGGGGCACTAACATCTTCCATACATTCCTGAAAATTTGCTCTGAGTGTGTAGGAACTCCCAGTTTCCTCCTCCCTCAGTTTTTTGAGAACCTTAGTAACCTGACTTCCCCCAGAATTCCTCTGCATTTCTAAGACCTGCCCCCTTTCCTGTCTTGACCTGTTTAGCACTTCCTCAGTCTCCCGTTGCTCTCACCCCAGGTCTTATTCCCCAAGGGGTGGGTGTCAAGATCTCTGGTCTCCTGTGACCCTTTCTCCTACTAATCTGCTTCATCTCTTTTCTCTCCCTTTGTTTTCCTCCTAGCTTTTCTCTAACTGTGGGATTTCTCTTAGTTTCTGATATTGGCCAACTCTGCATATCACCTTGCCTTTGGCATTTAGATCTGGCGGTGCTCCAGAGAACAGCTTCATCAGGTGTTTCCTGAGCCAAGCACTAACTGTCCAGAAGAGTACGAGCTGAAACCTGTTACCTGATCACAAGGATTGGCTGCACTTGCTGGGCTGTGGCCATCCCAGGCCCCTCCACCTTGCCCCCTGTGGATAGGGGGGGCCGGGTGAGCAGGCAGCTGGGCTATGGTTTGGTGCCTCAGTCTGGCCATCCTCAGCCTGATCATCAGCCAGGGGGCTGACGGTGAGCTAGACTCAAGAACTCCTTGTGAGCTTGGGGTGGGGGCATTCCACAGGGGTTCTCTGTTAGCATGTGAGGGTTCTGGAGAAGTTGAGGGTTCCCTCAATTACTCAGAGTCCTAGGGAGCCCCCTGAGACGCTGATGGGACTTCCCCTCCCAGCCCTGATGTGGGTCTCTGCTGTCCCTCATGCTACCCACCATGCAGGTCGAGGGAAGTCTGAGGTGGTACCGGTGGTGGGCAGGGCTGGGGAGAGTGCTGTGCTGGGCTGTGACCTGCTGCCCCCTGCTGGCCGGCCCCCCCTGCACGTCATTGAGTGGCTGCGCTTTGGGTTCCTGCTGCCCATCTTCATCCAGTTCGGCCTCTACTCTCCCCGAGTGGATCCTGATTACGTGGGTAAGATCTACAGGTCAGAGGGATGACCAACAAAGAATAGCTGGGGCAGAGGTCCTCCTTAACTCTGTCCCTGCTCTGACCTCACCTCCAGCTCCACTGCTTCAGTCCTGCTTAATAAACATGGCTGTGCTTCCAAGCCACGTTTACACACATGCGCTCACACATTCACACATTCTCACACACACTAACATATTTGCTGTCTAAAACACCACGTGGTCTCTTCTGAGGGAGATCCTGCAGTCCTGTTTCAAGTATCCAACTTAATTCTCTAATTGCTTTTCTAGATCTCATCATGAAGCTTCACAGACTCCATCCTCATCTTCCCTGGTCTCCCCATGTGGCCTTGTCCTGGTCCCTCCTGGCTTTGCTATCAACTCACTCCCCTGCCCTCTCCCTCCTTCACTGTCTTTGATGCTAGTCTGGGGGTTCTAGGCCTATAGAGCCTGGGCTAAGGGCAGGAGTGTGGGTGGGTCTATGACCTCTCTGCTTCTCCAGGGGGAATCAGCCTGATTTTTAGTATAGAACATGTGCACCAAGCTGGGGAGGGCCAGGTTCCCAAAAGAATAGCGAATGAAAGGGGCTGGGCTGGGTTCCTGCTTCAAGTGGCTCCTGTATGGACTTTAAAATTGTGTATAGGCCTCCCTAGCCTCAGCTGGCTCCCTCAAAAGGCTCAGTCAGCTTCCTCTTAATCCTGGCTGGAGCCTTAATCTGAGGGGTTTAGTGCAGGTCTCCTGTCAGTGTAGGAGGGCCTAAGGTTGGGTCCTTTAAGAGCTAAGGAGGGGAAGCCCAAGAAACGCCAACTGGGGAGGTCATCGATGGTGGGAGGGAGGCTTTCCTTTTTCCCTCTTTAATTTGAATCCTGAAGAAGCCATAGGATTGGTTGAGCTCTCACTGAAGGGCCAAGCAAAGGGGAGGAGGCTGTCCAAGGGAAGGGTTTATTTTCAAACTGGGGGCAGTTGTTGGCAAACAGCCTAGTGGGAGCACATATGTCTACACAGGCCCCCTGAGAATTGATGAAAGTGGGCCTTGCTTAAAACAAGTGGAGAGAAAGTGGCCATGCCCACCAGCCCTCCCCTCCTGCTTCTCTGCCTGCCACCTGGAAGGGGTGTAGGCTGAGTGACTGATGCTGGGAAGTTGCAGAAGATGCCTGACTAAAGCAAGAGAGGAGAGGAGGGAGAAGGGCTTTTACTGGGACTCCCCCAGGCAGATGTGCAACTCTTCCCCTTCCCTCTGCCTCCTGCCCTGTATTGAGGTCTGGCCAGAAACTTTGCTACCTGTGGGATTTCTTTTCTGCCTTCCAGAGCTGTGAGCAGCAACCTCTGGGGCTTTCTTCCTACCCTTTGTGTCCACTCTGCCCCCTGTCTGGAGCTCCTGCTTGGGCCAGAGCTAGTGTGCAGAGTCACGTCCCTGGGGGAGGTGGTCCCTGGGGGAGGTGGTCCCTGGGGGAGGTGGTCCTTGGGGGAGGTGGTCCTTGGGGGAGGTGGTGGTGAGGGGGAGCCCCTATGCCCATTAACTCTTTACTGCCTCCCAGTGTGGAAGCGACCTCTCATCCTTTGTGTAGGGGACTCAGAACTGCTGTTACTAGGCAATGGGAGGTGGAGGTTACTAAGGACAATGCTATCCTGTCATAAACCCTCTTGGCAAGTGAAGGGTTGATGGCCTGGGACTGTTTGTGAGGCTGAAGCCTAGAATGTAGGAGGAACCATGGAAGTGACAGTGACTGGAGCTTTAGGGACTGTACTGAAGGGCAAGTGTCCAACCACTGAGGATTCTAGAACCAGTCTAGTTGAGGAGACTGGATTTATAGACTGTTATGAAAGTAATAAAAAGCAGTAAACACCAGCTAGGACTAAATACTAGGGTTAAGTTAGCCATTGTGTGTGGAACATCAGCATGGACAGAGTATCTACATGGTGTGAAATGTGATCAGGCTTCAGATTTGGAAAGAGAGGTGTGCCTTATTCTACTTCACCTTTCCTGGGGTGGGCCTTAGGCCAGTGCTTCTAATCAATGGGACCCGCTTTTGGTTTTAGACTTTTGTGCTATATCCCTTGGGAGTTTCAAGGTGCCCCAAATGACAGAAGGGACGTGAGTTTTCTCTCTGTCCTGGGTTGTTTGATACAAATCAGTTATCCCATTCTGCTTTAGAACACCCGTGCTCCATGTAGTCATCTCCCTTTACTGCCTTTTGTCCTTCAAAATCATATTCATAGCCAAAGCTTCCTGGAAGCCTTCTGTATTCTTTTTGCTCCATAGTCTCTTGGAATATCTGGGCACAGTTAGCACCATATTTTAAACTGTGTATATGTGAGTTTGCACTTGAACATGAGTATGGGTTCCCTGCCTCCTGAGAGCTTGTGAGAGCTGGGATATATCTCCTGCTTCCTGTATACATCCCTGCATTCCAGGAGGTCTCAAGTCCATCAGTCTTTGGCACTGTGGGTGGAGAGTGGGCCTCCAAGGAGGTAGACTTAGGACTCAGGTGGAGTCAGGACTGCCCACCCTGGCCACCTTGTTTTTCTGTAATGGGTCTAGTAGTCCATAGCTTACAGAAAAGTTAGGATATGCAGTATGCTTCACTGGATGTTCTAGTTAACACAACACACATTTGGAACTGTTACCCACTGGCTACCAACATCCTAGAGTGAGAGCACACTCCACTTCAGCACTGAAGTGTGTTCAGTGCTGAGTACCTTGAGGTTGACATGATACTAATACCAGTGTGCAATGGAGAATATGACCATCTGGAGAAAGAAGGCCTGGCTTTGTCACTTATTAGTCATGTGATTTTGGAAAGAAGCTTAACATTAGTTTCTTCCTCTATAAGGGGATTTTTGAGGGGTTAACAGTACGTAATGTTGCATGGCCCATATTCAACATCAATTTCTCTTTCTTCTGCCTTCTTTTTAGCTCTTGAAGATCACCACAGGGAAAAGTTAATATCACATATCAGTTAGAGGACAATGCAGTCTATGGCCAGGTAGATTAGGGTTACTGAGGAATCTCACTGGTTGGTGGAAGGGTGTGATTATGTTAAATATTTACCTTCAAGGCCTAGGCTTAATGTCCTAGGTGGGGATATAAACACCAAGCCCTTTAAGCAGGTCCACCCTTAGAGAATCCACACCCCTGTACTTTATATTTGAGAGAAAAAAAGACCCTGCCTACAATCACCCAGCTGGCCTCTACTGGACATTCTTAGATGGCATTAGGGGCACTGTAGGTTTAGATTCTAGTTGAGAAAGATCATCTAGAGGTACAATGGAACCAAACTGGAGGGGGTGAGTGCACAAACAGCTTTAGAATTTCTAGTGTTAGGAAGGGCTAATTTGGGGCACAGTCTGGTTGGTTTGAGTGGGCACAATGCAAAGGGTCTTGTATCCTTTATCCATATGAAAGATCAAGGAGGGTGGACAGCTGATGAGTGTGGAGGGCTAGGTTGGAGGAGACCTCAGTAGGCTGTTGGGAGTAGTGCAGGTGAGAGATACCCAGGACTAAACTAAGGTGAAGGTGGTAGAGAAGGGACACATATTTAGGAGGTGGAATTTGGAAGACTTACTGATCAAACAGAGGGAGAAGTCATGGAGAGAAGAAGAGGTGAAGCCAGGTTCCTGGTAGGGTAACTTGGTACATGGTGTTACTGTTCACTGATGGAAAGGAAAGGGAGATGGTGTGTTATCAGGTATGGGACAGGGCTAGGATTGAATGCAGGCTGCCGATTTCAAATCTTGAGTTCATTTACTTGTTCACCAGTTTTTGTCTGAGCACCTGCTGATGCCAGGCCCCATGTTGCCTGCCCTCTCTTCATGATCTCTTCCTTCCACCCCACCCAGATTTCTCTCATTTTATAGATGGGTACACTGGAGTTGAGATTAGTAACTTGTCCAGGGGACTATACAGCAGAGCTGCTGTTTTTTCTAGGTTGCACTGCCAGGGACCCATGAAGCTGTTTGAGGTGTAGGGCTGTCAGGGGAGGTGCTGAGAGATTTGGGGGCACCTCTGTCTCAACCTGGTGGTGTGGTGTGTATGCTGACTGAGGGTGGGAATGTGATGTCTGCCTGTTGATGAGCTGTAGTCAGCTGGGGCTTGGGGTGCCCTGGCGTGTGAGGGCATTTGTGAGGAAGCTGCTGACCTTGCTGCCTTGGGGAGCTGGACTCTGGCCACCCAAAGGCGCTTAGACCACTGATAATAGCCCTGAGGGATTAGGGGCTTTGATAGGGTAGGTCTGGGTGTCTCCTCAGGCCCCAGACACTGCTGAGGCTTCTGTGGACAGTCGTCTGGTAGCAGGTGTACTCATGGGATCCATACCCTCTTGCCCTACAGAAAGCCTAGGGATGGGCAGATCCTGAAAGAATCCAAGGATACTTAGTGTTGGCTCTTCGATCTGTTCCCCCTAACAGTTCTGAGCTGTCTACCTATTTAGCTCTGGGTTTCTCCTCCTGGACCGAGTTTCTGCTGCTGAAAGGCAGGTGTGATCAGAGGGGCTGCCCTCACTACCCTCTGTGACTCTGGACCACACTCTTAACAGGGTAACTGGGAGAGACTGGTCCTGTTTTTGACCTCTGAGAATGACCATTGTGACCCTAATTCAGGACTCCTCCTCCAGGGAGAGTCCGGCTGCAGAAGGGGGCATCTCTGCAGATTGAGGGGCTCCGGGTGGAAGACCAGGGCTGGTACGAGTGCCGCGTGCTCTTCCTGGACCAGCACAGCCCCGAAGATGATTCTGCTAATGGCTCCTGGGTGTTCCTCACAGTCAATTGTATGAAGCTGGGAGCTGGATGTTGGGACCTCTGGGTGGTGGTGGGAGGAGCAGAGAGCAGTTCCACTGCCCCACCCTTGCTGACACCCTTATTTGCTCTCTCTGTTTGCATTCTGCCCCTCCCATCCCTTGAGTGCAGCAGATAGGGTGGTCTTGGGCTGGGGGTTCCTCTGACGCTGGGTGGGGTGAGGGCTGCAGCCCTCATCTTTCTCTCTGCCTCAAGCTAATATCCCCCCCTAGCAGCCCTTGATGCCTCCCTCTTTACAGCGCCCCCTCAGTTCCTGGAGACGCCTCCCCAGGTGCTGGAAGTTCAGGAACTGGAGCCCCTGACCTTGCGTTGTGTGGCCCGTGGCAGCCCCCAGCCTCATGTGACTTGGAAGCTCCGAGGACAGGACCTCAGCCAGGGCCATGGCCAGATGCAGGTGAAGCGTGTTGTTGGGCCGGGTGGTCCAGATAGAGTCTGAGGAGGCTGGTGGAGGAGCTGGGAGAGGGGCTGAGGGACGGAGCTGGCAAAGAAAGGCCTGAGGAGGGGCCTTGCCTCTGTGTCCTGAGTCCGGAGTGCTGCCCCCTCTGCTGGCCAGCCTTGGAAGTGCAGGGCCTGAGGCTTGCTGGAGAAGGTTGCCCCCTCAATTCCTACCTTAGGTGCAGAACGGGACGCTGTGGATTCCACGGGTAGAGAGAGGCAGCTCTGGGATCTACACCTGCCAAGCCTCCAGTACTGAGGGCAGCACCACCCACACCACCCAGCTGCTTGTGCTAGGTGCTTTCTGGGGGAAGGGTTGGGAACTGGAACACCTTTGTGTGAGGCCTGACTTGTGGCTGGGGGTGCACATGGCTGGAGAGTGAGGGAACTCCCAATGCAGGCTGTTCCTCTAAAATTAGCATGTTAAATTTTAAAAGGATCGGTTAACAGACATTTAGTGCAAAATGATGTGGTATAGTGGAAAGAGCATGGGTGCTAGTGTCAGATCATGAGCCATGTGACCCTCTAACCCCCGGTTTCCCCATTATATTAAGAGATTCCTATCTACTACCACAAATTCTAGGACTGTGATAAGAATTTAATAAGTGATCAGCACATAGTAATTCCTGGCCAAGACCTTCCCTTTAGAAGGAAAGCTGAGAAATAGAAGGCCTGGACTCTGCCTTTATAGAGTTTCTCATTTGTGTGGGGAAAGTAAGACCAATTAGGACCTGTGGTTCTCTGGGAAATGCAGTGTTGGGTAATGGTTAAGGGCAAAGTTTATGGTGCTGACAAGACCTGAATGTGAATCTTATCTTCCCTGCTGACCTTAGGAAAGTCACACCTCACAACCTCTCTGCTTCTGAGCCTTTATTTCTTCATGTATCAAGTGGAGACAGTAATTCCTACTACAGAGGCTCTTCTGAGGGTTAAATGAGATGATGAAGTGCAGTGCTTAGCAGAGTCCCTACCGGCCTATTATTCATTACTCATGTGGTAGGAGCCCTCGGTGCAGTGGCAGAAGTTAGAGCAGGGGCTCTGTGGCTTGACCAGGCTCTTGGGAAGAGCATTCCATGCTGGGGGTTCAGAGAGCAAAGGCCTGGGGACAGGGGTGAGGTTGGCATAGGGCACAGCGAGCTGCCCACACTGACTTGACAGGAGTTGTTCCTAAGGTTCAACATACAAAAAGATGGTTGGCCAGGCAGGGAGTGGTTGGATTAGGAGGGCTGGGTCTAGAAGTGGAACTTCAAGTGGTAGGAGACAGCAGCTGTTGTGGGTTCTTGAGCAGAAATTGCTGTGGCCAAAGAATAAATGGCCATTTAATGCATGGATGGCCATCAGTGGGAGAGGTTGGGGAGCCTGGGGTAAGGTACTGGGTACCTAGATTAGGAGAGGAAACATAGAGGTAATTTGAGATGTGGCAGGTGAGGGGTATGGAGTGTAAGTGAGTGGAGACTTAAACCTGATACTCCTCCCTAAGACACACTCACATGCACAGAAAGAGCTTCTAGGCAGGAGAAACTCAATGAATGAGCATTCCCGAGAGCAGGTCCAGGAGGAACAGTAGAAGTGAACTTAGGTTTCTCTGAAGACTGTGGGTTGAGATGCTTCCTCCCCTTGTGCTCCCCCATAGGACCCCCAGTCATCATTGTGCCCCCCAACAACAGCACGGTCAACACCTCCCAGGATATTTCATTGGCCTGCCGGGCTGAGGCGTACCCTGCTAACCTTACCTATAGCTGGTTCCAGGATGGCGTCAATGTCTTCCACATTAGGTGGGGCTCTGAAGGATGGGGGTAGGGAACTGGTGGGCAGTCTTTGAGGAACGTCTTGGCTGAGCAAGGCCTGGATGCTTCCCCACACATGCCGTTCCACAGCCGCCTGCAGTCACGAGTGCGGATCCTGGTGGATGGGAGCCTGTGGCTAGAGGCTGTCCAGCCTGATGATGCTGGTCTCTACACCTGTGTGCCCAGCAATGGCCTCCTACACCCACCCTCAGCCTCTGCCTACCTCACTGTGCTCTGTAAGCCTGACCCCAGGTCCCCTGAAAGCCTGCTCTCTTCCCCTGGCCAGGCCAACCTCATCCTGCATAATTTGTCACTGTTTCCCCCCAGACCCAGCTCAGGTGACAACGATGCCTCCTGAGACACCCCTTCCCATAGGCATGCGCGGGGTGATCCGCTGCCCAGTTCGTGCCAACCCCCCACTGCTCTTTGTCAGCTGGACCAAGGATGGGCAAGCCCTTCAGCTAAATAAGGTACAGGCTTACAGGCTTTGGGCAAAGGAATGAAGGTCTCAGCCTGTTTTTGTTTTTGTTTTTTTTCCTGTCAGGAGAGCCGGGGTGGAGTTAGTTCAGTTTAATTCAGTTCACTTACTAGAACATGCACTTAGTTCCAGGTGCTGTGCAGAGTGTTGCATGTGGAGCAGGAGCAGTGAGATTCCATGCTTAAGGAGGTCACAGCCTAGAAGGGGGAGGGACAGCGACGGAGACACTTTGCTGGAAGGCCAGGCATGAAGTGCCTTCGTGTTAGGGACTGGTTTAGAATAGATCAGCTGTAGTCTGGGACTTTGGTGATAGGCCTTGTAGGGTGGACAAGCATTCCATGCAGAAACCAGGGCTCAGAGGCAAAAAGCAATATAGTATGTCTATGATGTAATGAATCATCCGTCTTGGGAGTACCTGTGTGGATGTGAGTGGTACGGAGACAGCTGGAAAGACAGGTTGGTGCCAAAAAGAACAACTCTAGATGCCAAGTTAACATTACCTCATTCCAGGAGATTGGGATCTTTTGTTTGTCTGCAAAGACTATAAATTCCTTGTGGGCTAGTATTGCATCTTGTAATCCTAGTGTCCCCAGGGCTTCTTCAATAATAGTACTCAATAAGTTTTTGTTGAATGTTAAAAGAAAAAAATCTAAAGGCAGTTGGAAGCAGTGAAGTTGCTTGAGCAATGGTGTGATAGCATCATACCTGTGAGCAGGAGTTAAGTTTGTTGAATGGAATGGAGGGGGAGAGAGTGGGCAAGGGAGACGGGTTCTTGGGCTGTTGAAATGGTCCAGATGAGAGATTATGTAGCCTGAATTAGAGAGGAGGACATGAAGGTGGATTGGTCTCACATCTAGACAACAGGCCTTCTTTAGGAAGATAGACCTGGTGAGCAAGTAGATGGAGGAGTGAGGAGTTAGATGTTAGTGAGGAGAGTGGGGCCTTTAATGCAGAAGTAGGGAAGCCAGGAAAAGGATCTGATTTGGGGTGGAAGATGCTGAATTTAGTCATGGAGTGCTGGGAAGATGAACAGATGAAGCCCCAGCAGGCAGAAAGCCCCCATGCAGCTCAGTTGTAGGGTGTTCGCCCTGTATTCCCTGGAGTTGTGCAGTCCTGGCCTTCACAGCCATTTCAAGTGGCCCCTCTCTAAGAAAGTGAGACAGAGGATTGGAATGCAGAGAGGTCAGGCCTAGAAAGTAGAGCTGTGGTATCTTCATAGTTGTGGGCTTCTTGTACCTGCCCTCACTTGTCTTGCATCTGCTGACCTCTCATGATCATGTCTTCCCTACAGTTCCCTGGCTGGTCCCAGGGCCCAGAAGGCTCACTGGTCATTGCCCTGGGGAATGAGGACGTTCTGGGAGAATACTCCTGCACCCCCTACAACAGTCTTGGCACTGCAGGGCCCTCCCCAGTGACCCGTGTGCTGCTCAAGGTGAGGCTCAGGGTGAGCCAGCAGTAGTGAGTCATGTGGCTGAAGATGCACTGTGTGGACAACTGACTGGTAGAGGGATGTGTTGGGGGGCTTCCAAGTCTGTGTTTCCTGTGGTAGTCACAGCAGCAGCTGTCAGATGCCATCCCGAATTTTATTTATTTATTTATTTATTTATTTATTTATTTATTTATTTTGTGGAGATGGTGCTAGGGAAATGGAACATTAAGTCACACAGCACATCCACAATCAGATACTCTTTCCACCCCTATTCTCACTAACGTTGACCACATCACCTCCCTCTCTGGGGGTGTTCTGTAGGGGCCTAAATACTTCCAGAGAGGCCTCCAAGCCCCTCAGTGTTTTCTGTCCCACCAGGGAATAGAGACATGGAACTAGGGAGACAGAGATGAGGCTTAGATGTGGTGGGACTGGGAGCCCCAGAAAGGGCACATCACTATGAGAGAGGCCCTTCCCAATGCCAACTCTGGCTTGCAGGCCCCCCCAGCTTTTCTAGAACGACCCAAAGAAGAATATTTCCAAGAAGTTGGGCGGGAGCTACTCATCCCCTGCTCTGCCCAAGGAGACCCTCCTCCTACTGTCTCTTGGGCCAAGGTAAGGCTCTTGAGTCTGCTTTGCCTGTATTCTGCCCAATACACCCCTGACCCTTTGTGTCCCTGTTCATTTTGTGAGAAGGAGGATGTGGGAAGGGAAAGGTTCTCAGAGGCAGGGTGGGGAGGAAGCTGGAGCTGCCTGGAGAGACGTGGCGCCCTTGGTGAGGGGTGGCTGCGTGTGTCCTCAGGGCTGACCAGTGGTTCCGTAGGTGGGCCGGGGGCTGCAGGGCCAGGCCCAGGTGGACAGCAACAGTAGCCTCATCCTGCGACCATTGACCAAGGAGGCCCATGGGCACTGGGAGTGCATCGCCAGCAATGCTGTAGCCCAAGTGGCCACCTCCACGAATGTCTACGTGCTGGGTTAGTGGCCACATAGCTGGCTGTGGGCTGCAGGAAGCCACATGGGACAGGAGATGGGGAATCAGTTTTGGAGGCTCAGATGGGGATTGTGGGTGGGGGATCCCTGGAATGATGGGTGGAGGACAGAGGCTCTGGGCTCCCCTTAGTTCTTTACGTTTCCTCAGGGTCCGTAATCCCTCCTTCCATTCCCTCCTACCCAGGCACCAGCCCCCATGTTGTCACCAATGTGTCTGTGGTGCCTTTGCCCAAGGGCGCCAATGTTTCCTGGGAGCCTGGCTTTGATGGTGGCTATCTGCAGAGATTCAGCGTCTGGTATACCCCGTTGTGAGTGACCTGCGGGCCACTCCTCTCTTCCCTGCCCTGATTCCCTCTGCCTTTTCTCCCACCCTCTATCCCTGCCCTGCACCAGCTCTGCTGCCTGATTTACTGAGAATCTTTAGGTGAACCTGAATAGAGGAGGGGAGGAGAGAGGCCAGCTCTCTGGACTCCAAGCTTTCTAGTCTTCCTAGTTGATGAGGTACCCCCATTTCGTCATGTCCTCCAGGGCCAAGCGTCCTGACCGAGCCCACCATGATTGGGTGTCCCTGGCAGTGCCTGTGGGGGCTGCTCACCTCCTTGTGCCAGGGCTGCAGCCCCACACCCAGTACCAGTTCAGTGTCCTAGCTCAGAACAAGCTGGGAAGTGGGCCCTTCAGCGAGATCGTCCTGTCTGCCCCTGAAGGTGAGGGACCTCTCACCCCAGAGCAGCAGATAAGGATGGGGAAGGGCTGGCAGGAAAAGCCCCGATATGGGAGGATCTGGGTGGGAGGGGGCAGAGGTACTGAGCAGCTTGGGACCTAGAGGAATTTGTGGAGGATGATCCACATTTGTCTTTAGGGGCTCTGGGAAAATGATTGGGCACTGGGGGTTGTAGAAAACCAGGGGAAGTGGGGAAGAGCACTGGAAATCCTGTTTCTACCATGCCTGCCTATCCCATTCAGGACTTCCTACCACACCAGCTGCCCCCAGGCTTCCTGTGACAGAGATGGCACCTCACCTGTCCCCTCCCAGAGGTCTGGTGGCAGTGAGGACACCCCGGGGGGTACTACTGCATTGGGATCCCCCAGAACTGGTCCCTCAGAGACTGGATGGCTACATCCTAGAGGGCCGACAAGGCTCCCAGGGCTGGGAGGTGCTGGACCGGGCCGTGGCAGGCACAGAAATGCAGTTGCTGGTGCCTGGCCTTATTAAGGTTAGTGTGGGAGGTGGGCACAGGGGTTCTGTGGCTCTCCAGGCACCAGTTCCATTCCTCTATTCTGATCTTCCCGGCTTCCTACTTCACCCTAACCTCCCAAATACTGTGTCTTTCCAAATGGGGTTGGGGTGGGTGGTCAGGCTGGGCCCTGACCTCCTTCCTGGACCCCCTCACTCCCAGGATGTTCTCTACGAGTTTCGCCTTGTGGCCTTGGCTGGTGGCTATGTCAGCAATCCTAGCAACTTGGCCAATGTCTCCACTTCTGGTGAGAACGTGGAGGGAGGGCCGAGGCTGGGCACTCTGAGCCCACTGAGTCTGGACACTGACCCTCCCTCCTGGCCTCTTCTGCAGGTCTAGAGGTCTACCCATCACGCACCCAGCTGCCAGGCTTCCTGCCACAGCCTGTACTGGCCGGCGTTCTCGGTGGGCTCTGCTTCCTAGGGGTGGCTGTCCTTGTGAGCATCCTAGCTGCTTGCCTAACTAGCCGGCACAGGGCTGCTCGTCATCGCCACCGCAAGCACTTCCACCAAGGTAGGGCCAGCTCCCATCAGAGCCTCCTACGTGGAGGAAAGCCCTCCCTCCTCCATCTTGCACCCTGCCTTGCCTACTCTATTCCCAGCCAGATGGGGCTGGGCACTTGTTCTTGGGTGAGGGTCTGAGTCTGGGGCCCTGGAGGGCCCTGGGTTTGCCTGTGTCACCTCTGGTTCTCCTGCCTTGCAGATCCACCTCTTATCTTCTCTCCACCCCGGCTGTCAGCTCCACTGTAAGTCCCTCCTGCCTCCCCACAGTGTACCCCTATTCTCGGTTTCCTTTTCTGCATCTCAGGATGGGAGTCCTGGGAGGTGGAACAGAAGTGAGAGGGAGGTGAGGATGTGTTTGCAGAGCCCCAGCCTAGGGGTGGTCCAGTGTTGCATATGCCCCCCTCCACCTGTCCATGTGGGTCCTTTTTCACTTGCTTTCCCAGCTCTACTCTGTTGTGTACCAGACCTGTCCAGGCCTGAGGCTGGTTCTTGGGAGAGAGGCTAGCCCTTACCACAGGCCCTGATCTCTTGTCCTTCCATAGGTCTGCTCCAGGCTCAGGCAGTCCTGACAGCATGGCCAAGCTGAAGCTCCAGGCTTCCCCAGTCCCAAGCATGTGCCAGAGTCTGCTCTGTGGGGAACCTACTAGACCCCCCAGCTCCCCTCCAGATCCTTCACCTAGCTGGGGGCCCTTGCCCCTGGAGCCCATTTGCCGGGGGCCAGATGGGCGCTTTGTGATGGGACCCAGTGTGGAGATCCCCCAAGAAAGGTCAGGCCCTGAGCAGGTCGAACCTCGGACCCCGGCCCACTGTCAAACCAAGTCCTATGACTGCAGCAGCAGCCCCAGTGGGCTGCCCCATCCCCTCTGCATTGCAGACATCAGCCCTGTGGGGCCCTCTCCGGCATCCTCACCCAGTCCCCTGCCAGGTACAGGACCCCTGCTCCAGTACCTGAGCCTGCCCTTCTTCAGGGAGATGAATGTGGATGGGGACTGGCCCCCTTTTGAGGATCCTGGTTCTGCTGTACCCCCAGATTACACAGACATTCAACCCTGCCAGACCTCACCTCTCCTTCAATCCCTGGACTCCCCCCCGGGGTCCCCCAGAGCAGTACTTCCTGGAGCTGTAGTTCGGACTGGGGCTGCCGCAGAGCCTGCCTACACAGCGCTGGCTGACTGGACACTGAGGGAACGGCTGCTGTCAAGCCTTGTCCCTGCTGCCCCTCGGGGCAGCCTCACCAGCCAGAGCAGTGGGCGGGGTAGTGCCTCTTTCTTTCGGCCCCCCTCCACTGCTCCCTCAGCAGGAGGCAGCTACCTCAGCCCCACTCCAGGAGACACCAGCAGCTGGGCCAGTGGCCCTGAGAGATGGCCCCGAAGGGAGCATGTTGTGACAGTCAGCAAGAGGTAAGGGCAGTCCCTGCCCACCCCTGCCCTAACCCTAGTCCAGCCTGTTGTCTCAGATTTTCTCCCCACCCCTTTCCTGATACCTTCTGCCTTCTCTGTTCACTCCCACCTTGGGGCCAAGAGACCTTGTCTCCCTTCAGAAGATTTGGCCTGAAGTCCAGGAATCCTCAGGGGAAATCATGGCCCTTTCTGAATTTAGGAAGCCCAGGTTTCAGCTTTTCTGGCCACCCTGTATTCTCTCTTCCACCCACCCCACACATTTGTCCCTTTTTACAGGAGGAACACATCTGTGGATGAGAACTATGAATGGGATTCAGAACTCCCTGGGGACATGGAATTGCTGGAGACTCTATACTTGGGCTTGGCTGGCCCTCGACCCCGAGCTGAAGCTGAGTCAGAGCTAGGTGTGTGAGCTCTCCAGAAAGGCAGGCACTCCTGGCCTTGCTGGTCCATGTTCTGTCACAGCCTTAGGACCAAGTCTGTTCCCGCTTGGGCCTGAGGCCCCAGGCTCTCTCCACTTGCTCCCTTAGTTCATCTGACCTGCCGGCCCTGCGAGCTTCATGGTGCCAGTGAACCTCAAGACTTTTTTCCTCTCAATGTTCTGTCCTCCTCTTGCAGGTACGAAGACTCCAGAGGTGGGCTGCCTCCTGAACACGGCCCATGCTCCTGGCCCTGAGGCCCGCTGTGCTGCACTTCGGGAGGAATTCCTGGCCTTCCGCCGCCGCCGAGATGCTGCTAGGGCCCGGCTACCAGCCTATCGGCAGCCAGTCCCTCATTCTGAACAGGCCACTCTGCTGTGAACGCCCTAATGTGAGTCAGGGTGAAGGTACATGGACCCTGCAAAGGAGGCCCCAACAAGATCTAGCTCCAGCCTAGGAAACTGCCCCTGCCCCTTTGAGGCCCAGGCATAGACGCTGACTGGGCTTGGGTGGGCATGGGTGGGCATGGTGTGGGACATATGTGCTGAGCCCCTAGAGCCTGGGGACTAGAACGGGGATCCTAGGCCTACCAAAGTGGGGGGTGTGTGTGTGTGCACATGCACAGTGCTCACGGTCTGGGTAAGGTTTTATACGGGTGAATAAAGAAATCTGGAAAATGTTTCTATGTTGTCTGGTAAATCTGAGACAGAGGTGGGAAAATCTTGAACCCTTAAAAAGAGGGAACTCTTCCTAAATGAATGGAGGTGCATTCACTATCCATTCAAAAAGCGTTTATTGAGTGCCTCCTGAAGTTCACTAAGTCATGCCTTTGCCCTTGGGGACTTTCTTGTCAGTGAGGCAGACAAGTAAAATACTTATAGTATGATGCAGTAAGTTCTGTGATAAAGCAGTATTGGTTATTGTGGTAGCACAAAGGGGAGTCAACACAATGAATGCTTATAACATGTTCTGGGACAAATGCTTCATGTGGGGGAGCCTCGGAGTTTTTAGAGTGAGAACAATGACAGCTAGTAGCTGAGCACCCCCCATGTGCCAGCACTGCTCTAAGATCCTTACCATCTATTGGTTAATCTCTACAACTGAGGTAGGTAGTCTTATTAGACTAGGGAACTGAGGGGTCCAGTGCTTTAGTAATTTGCCCACAAGTCAATGACAGTGGGTGTGGTGCAGAGCAGGTGAAAATCAGTCAAGGGAAGAAAAGCTGTCCAGGCAGAGGAAAAGCCTGTGTGAAGGCACAGGGGTAAAAACAGGCTTCTAAGGAATGACCTGGAGGCACTGAAATTTAGGGTGGTAGGATTGGGGAAGGGAGAATAAAAGGTGAGAGGACACTAGTTGATGCCCTTAAAAACCAGGCACAATAGGCTCCTACCATACATAAAGAACTCCATTAGTGGATGTAAGCGGGGACTCAGCCCCAGAGGACTTCTCAGCTGAAGCCTGAAAGTGGGGAGCATTTCAGCCCCCAAAGTGCTGTCCTCCACTCTCAGCTGGAACTGTGAGCCTCCTCAGCTGGAGCCTCCTGTTTTGAGCTCTCCAGGATTACGGAGAGATGCCAAGTCATAGAAGATGAAAGGGAGTGCAGTCAAGATCTGAGCCCTGGGTCCCAGCAATGATCATGCCTCTTGGGCACCAGGCAAGAAATGATATCATTGAGTTTTCCTGCCTAGGCTTGAAGTAGGTGCTGGGTGCTGTCCTTGCCTGCAAGTCCCAATCCTGTCACACCTTAGTCAGTTTTGAACGGGGGCAGGGGGCCAGGTGGGGGGGGGCGGGGGGAGAAAGGAAGGTAGTTCTTGTGCCTCCATTTACTCAACCTAACCACCCTTTTTAAGCCACGAGAATTCTTCCCACGTAAATGCCCACGATCTTGAGCTAACCTAGGTAGAAAGTTTCCCACTGGGGCACAAATCTTCGGGCTCTGGGGTGGGGTCCTGAGTTGAAGACACTGCCGCTGCTTGGATGCCCCGGCTCTCCAGATTCTTTAACCCGGTGTCTCATCCATAGCCCCTCTCTTCTGATCTCGGTCCAACGCTTGCGTCAGGGCGTCTTTAAACCCTCCCAGCCCTCGCTCCGCCCCCGGTCCGCCCTGTCCGAGGCGGGAGCAGCTGAAAACCCCTAGCCCTGCCCAGGCGTTCCACACGCCCTGAACCGGCCCGGAGTGCGCGCTCACTCTCTCGACGGTAAACAGTTTGGGTTTTTTTTCTGTTTTTTCTTGGGGGGGGTGGGGTGGTGCGGGAGGTAGAATGCTGTCTCTAGAAAGAAGCTGTCTCTAGAAAGTGAGAAGCAGTGCTGGAGACCTGCTTCCAGCTTGTGGATCAGAGGCCTCGGGAGCCAAGAGTCCGATGACTGCTTCGCCCCGCGCTGTCAGATCCTGACCCCAATGTTGGGGCATTGCTGGGCCATGAGATCAGGACACGTTGTGGGTGCACGGACGGGGCATCCACCCAGACCAGGGCCTTAGGGTCTCCGCCCCACGCGCTGGCTTCAGCCCTGAGTCCTCTCCGGTGAGGAAGGAGGGCATTGGGGATTGGCTAGTTGGCCCCGAGTGCCGGCCGGTCTGGGGGGTGGGGGAGGGAGGTCTAGTTGGCCCGAGCGCTGGCACGTCCGGTGGGGCGGAGCGGGGTGGGGCGCCGGGGCCAGCACAGCGACCCCGCACTTCCTGGTTCCAGGAACACGTGCAGGTACTGCCTTCCCTCTGCGCCCGAGGCGGTCCTTTCTGTTACTTCTGCCACCTCGTTTCCTGGGAACTCGGGGTCGCGGGCTTGCGCTCGCATCCCACGGTGGCCTCTCCTTCCCCTGTTTGGGCGGGAGTTGAAGCCGCAGTCCACTCCAGGAGAGTCCCTGTAGCGTAGGGATTTGGGGACTGCAGCCCCGACTGCACCTGCCTGTGTGAGATGGGGGATGGCTGCTTGCCAGGCCCTCCTGCCCCTCCGTGAGCAGAGGTTCCCACCCCGTGCCTCCCTCTGCTGAGAATGCCGGTGGTTACCGCGGGCAGGCTGGCCGGCGGGCTGCCCAGACCACTGCGTCACCCCAGCGGCAGGCGGGGTGACTCATCTCGCAATAACGGCCCAGGGTGTGACCAGGGGGGGGGCTGAACTTGTAGGACCGGAAGTGGCCTGCCGCCTTCCTACCCTGCAGGCCTCCTGGAGTCCACACCAGGAAAGTTCTAGGGCAACTTAGTATCAGGGAGCAGAAGGCAGCCGATGGAAGTGAAAGTGAGGGTGGACCGTTCTGGAGATCCCGTGCAGAAGGAGACTTGGGGATGGGCTCTGCCTAGTTCTTTGACTCCCGGGCACCAGACAGAGGGACAGCCTCCCAGCTCAACCTCTGTCCCAATTTCTCCTAGTCCACAGGAATGACCTAGAACTGCAGAGCCTAAGGTAGGGTGGGGCCAAGAGCGCCTTACCATTCCAGAACCAAGTTTGTCTTTGTCCAACGGCAGTCCCCTCTCATTCCCAGTGCCTCTTCTGCCCCCTGGGGATTGGCCTCTAATGCTTTCTTTACCCTATCCCTTCTCCCAACAGAATTTTCAGGTACGCGGTTCTTGCTCATAATATATCTTATGTTCCCAGAGCATTTCTTCTCCTGAACTATTTCCTTGAGTCTAGTTCTCTGCCCCAAAACTCAGAACTTCCTATCTCCTCCAAATGCACTCTGTACCCTCCGTAGCTGCCTCCTGAGGAACGCCTTGCCTGCACCTGGCTGTTCCTGAGAACTGCTGTGAGTTGGCCCCTTTCCCAAGGACCCACCTCTGCTCCTGTGCTTGGAGCTGCCCCACCACTCCTCTGTGATGAGTGCATGTTTCTGCCTGGTGCCCCCACCCTGCCCTGGGCCTGTTTGGTACACAGAAGCCATGGTAACACCCTCCTCCCCCCTCCTCCTGCAGGCCCTGCGGCTTCCTGTTTGTGTAGCTTCAGCTTTCTTTCCTGCTTACTGACTCTTGATGGTGAGGGGGTTACCCCATTCATATGTCTCCCACCATCCTTGCTTCTGTTTGTTCCATGTGGCATTTTGCTTTGGGGACAGATACCCCCATTTTGCCCTTTAGAAAAATCTTAATCGTAATTCTGAGTTGGGAAGTTCTCCTGTGTTATCTGCACAATGAATGGCGAGTCCCTTTTTCTTCCCAATTAAACCTGCAGCCAGGAACCCTCAAATCTCCCACCCGCTCCTGCATCCGCCTTTTACTTGGCATTGGTCTGGGAGGTGAGATAAGCTTCCAGCCCAGGGTCTGGGCAGGGCTTAGAGCCCCAGTGCCTTTTGTGGCCTCTGTTCCTTTCCCAACTATTATACCCTTCTGCGTGGCGTGTAGGGCTGTTCCCACAGATGTAGGCAGATCTCCAGTTTAGGTTACTCATAGCCAGCCTGCCCTCCAGTTGGTCAGCTGTTGGCTTCCCAATGGATCATCTGCTTTGGGCATCACCCCCACAGCTTCTCCCCACCCCAGCAGGCAACTGGCTGTCTTCCCTTCCTTTGATGGAGGGCAGGAGTAGGTCCTAGGGTGGGCCACTCCCGCTCCAGCAGCCGAAGCCCATCAGCCCTCGCCTGCTGGTGTGGGGGTGGGGAGGAGAACCAGCTGCCATGGGCTGGGCCTCGCTGGGTCTGCCCCTTCCCGGAGCTCTGCGCTATGACTCTAGCACTTCAGGACTCTGGGGTAAGGGCTCCAGAGTGGAGTTTGGACACTGCAGCTGGAGGCTGTGATGCTGCCGGCTGTGTCCAGGCACCAGAGGCGGGGTTGTGGGGGGCGCCCTCAGAATCCACCCTGTGTCCAGAGTGGATCTGGAAGGCTGTGTTTGTCCTGCCTGTGGGGGGCACTGGAAAGGTCAGTCTTTAGGCCTGCTCTCCCCTCCTAACCCTGGTGTTTGGGTTACTCATTCTCTTGCCCTTTCTTTCCCTGGGCCACTGTGATCTCTGGGCTTGAGGCTACTTGGGTCCATGGACACACAGTCCTGAGGCCCAAGTAACCATAGTGAAGCTGCTCCCGGAAGAGAGGCCTGGACATTGGGCTAGGAAAGGGTGGCTTACTGGGAAAAGGCAATAGCCCCCAACCCCTATCCCCTTCCTCTCAATGGCCCTGTGTGGCAGGGTCACAGGTCATAGACTGAATGGTGGCTGAGCATTTGGGGCTGGCCTGGGGGAAATCTAGTCTCCTTTCCACAGGCCTCAGCTGCTGGACCGTCCACCCTCCCCCAGTGAGTGTGTGTGGCTGGTGGTGTGGGGTCAAGGCCCAGACCAACATTTATCTGGCCCAGCTTCCAGGCTGGGGGAAGTGGGGTGGGGTGGGTTGCTCTTAATGATGTTTAAAAATAACTGATTTATGGGGGAGGATCTCTGCAGGAAATGTACAGCTGGATAAGCTGGAGTAGAAAGGAGCAGCCATGTTGGATATGGGGGAGGAGACTGGGCTGAGACAGGATCACTGGGGCTGAGAGGCGTGAGAGGTTGGGAGACAGCTGCTGCCCCTGAGGCCTGGTGATATGTACTGAGGCTGAATCTTAAGGACTATTGAGAGGGTGGCAGAATTGTTTAACCTGGGGTGCATGGGAGAAAGGGAGGCAAAGCAACTTCATCCCTTAAATCTAACCTGTCCTGGAGCCAGAGGTAGGAAGAAAGAGTGGCTCTTTTTCCTCTCTTTGAGCACAGGTGCCTTGTCCTGAGGGATTCTCTCTCTTTAGGCAGCCAGAGAGCTAGCTGTATGTCAAGCAGCAAGTTGCCCGTCCAGGGAAGGGATGGGGTCCTGGCTACCCCTTGGCATCGGTAGCATTGCTGACAGGCTCCTGGGTGTGGGACCTAGACAATTAGTGGTGGGTGGGGACACCCTGCCCACAGTGAGGTGCTGCCAACTCAGGTCATCGGTCAGGAAACCACCCGGTTCTTCCTAACCATGTTTCTCAAACTAAGTTAAAGAAATCTTCCTATGTATTTCCCTCTCCTTCCCTTTCTTCCCAGGTTTTCCTAAAAAAAATAGCTCCAGGACTCCTGTATTCTTTTCCTAGTCCTGCTGTAAAACATTATTACAAACTTAGTGACTTAAAGCAACATACATTTAATATCTCACAGTTCTAAAGACCTTAACAAAGGTCTCATTGGCTAAAATCAAGGTGTGGGCAGAGCTGCATTCCTCATGGGGCATTGAGGGGAGAATCTATTTCCTTACCTTTTCTACCTTCTGGAGGTCACCTGCATTTCTTGGCTCATGGTCCAGCATCATTCTACCTTCTGTTTCCTTTACACTTTCCCCACTCGGACTCTCCTGCCTCCCTTTTTTGCTTATAAGGACACTTGTGAGTATACTGGACCCACCTGGATAATCCAGGGTACTCTTCCCTATCTCAAGATTTTTAATTCAGTCACATCTGCAAAGTCCCTTTTTTGTCATGTAAGGTAACATTCACAGGTTCTGGCAATTAGGACATAGACATCTTAGGGGGACCATTATTCTACCTACCACAGCTTCCAGAAAGTAGAATTTGTTGTAATTGTTCAGTTTCTCATGGGAAGTTCCTTTTGCCTGCTGAAATCTGTGAAGGGTCTATCCAGACCTCCCTCTTCCAGGAAGCCCTACAAGCTGCTTCTGCCCATACTCTTCTGAATTCCTACAACATATAGTCTGACTGAGCAGTTTGGTATTGGTCATGTACAACCCTTACCCTTTTGTATGCATTCACTTTTTCTCTCTAATGGCACTCTGGGAAACTTCAGTCTCTTCTACAATTCCTAGCACAAATCTTGGATGTTCAGTTAAAACCCAGTGGCTGATTGAGGGTTGATGCTGCCTGTCCCCTATATAGGTCCTGGCACAGGCTTCCCAAACCACTCCATATTCTTTCTCCTTTCCTCAAATCATTCTCCTTCCCAGGGCTGAAAAAATCAGGGTTGGGATTAGAATGGCCAGTTTGCCTTTGCTAAAGCTTACCACCCCTGATGAGGGGCTGAAGCCCCATCTTGGCCTGATTTAACCCATACTCTATTCCAGTGGCCTTTGTACTCCATTGAAATGAAATCTAGTGGGAAGCCTGGCCTGTGTGGCTAGAGTTCTAAGCAGTGATATTCTAGTCTATGTCCTGGGGTCAAGGTGAGATTTCCCTCATGTGGCAGCTGTTCTCATCTCTAGGGCCCACCCTGGGAATACGACATGTGTCCTTGTAGGCAGAACCCTCCACCTCACAGCTAGCAGGGGACTGAAGGCTTGGGTATGTCCCCTTCCCAGCTCCCCACAGCCACCACCACCCTTCAGAATGGCCAACAGGGGTCCTGCCTACGGCCTGAGCCGGGAAGTGCAGCAGAAGATTGAGAAACAGTATGATGCAGACTTGGAGCAGATCCTGATCCAGTGGATCACCACCCAGTGCCGCAAGGATGTGGGCCGGCCCCAGCCTGGGCGTGAGAACTTCCAGAACTGGCTCAAGGATGGCACGGTGAGAGCTGGGCCCCTCTAACTGGAAGTGCTGGGAGAGCAGGGCTGGGCCTGGGGACCGGGGATTATTTCACCTGAAGAACTGAGGGCATACCTGACCCAACTTCTTCCTGAGCCTGGAAGGGACTCATGCTTACCTTCCTCCCACTGAGTGAAGAGGGAGGATGAATAGGCCTCCTGTCAGTGGAAGGCCCTATATGACACATGGAATACTCTAAGAAAAGAATTGTTAGGGGTTTACTCTAGTCAGTGATATTAGAATACTGAAGTTTACACTCTGGCTTCGGAGGCAGGGGCTGGGCAGGATGAATCTGAGGCTCCAGGTATGTTCAGGTAGGAGAGAAACCTCTGTGACTCATGCTTTCTGGAGCTGAGGATGGTGCATTCTGATCTTCAGTAGGCATGGCCTCACCTCTGCACACCTGCTGTCTCATCCAGGTGCTGTGTGAGCTCATTAATGGACTGTACCCTGAGGGGCAGGCCCCGGTGAAGAAGATACAGGCCTCCACCATGGCCTTCAAGCAGATGGAGCAGATCTCTCAGTTCCTGCAAGCAGCCGAGCGCTATGGCATCAATACCACTGACATCTTCCAGACTGTGGACCTCTGGGAAGGTGAGCCAGGGCCATGGTGCTGTCATCCAGAAGACCAGAGACTGGGCTGGGCCATCTCAACCAGGGAAAAGTGGCAGGTTTCTGGCTCTCTGGGGAAAAAAGGTTGTGCGCAGTGTATGTGTGGGTGCACATTTGTGTGTTTTATGGAGGAGTTGGCCCTGTTGGGGATTGGGATGGAAAAGAGTATGGGGATAAAGAGGAAAAGAATTTGGAAGCTGGACCTGATGACTTAGTGATAGAGGTGGAACCCTGGCATCCAGGACCTCAGCTCTGCTGAGGCCAACCATCCCCATCTCCTTCCCAGGAAAGAATATGGCTTGTGTACAGCGAACGCTGATGAACCTGGGTGGTCTGGCAGTAGCCCGAGATGATGGGCTTTTCTCTGGAGATCCCAACTGGTTTCCTAAGTGAGTATACTGGGGCTGCCTGGGCTGTGGGCAGGCCTGCCCATTTCTGTCCCTAGGAAACAACTGATCCCCTATAGAAGCTGGCCATTTACAAAGTACTTCTACATTCTTTATTTCACTTAATCTTCTGGCATGGGACTGTCCCATCTGAGAGATGACAAGGTGGCTTCAGAGAGCCCAAGGCTCAAGGATAGAGCTGACTCAAGTACTCAAGCCATAGCAAAGCCTGCGCTCTGTCCAGGGAAGACATTACTGGGGCAGCCTCAACCTCCTCCTAATGACAATCCATCTCCACCTAGGAAGTCCAAGGAGAACCCTCGGAACTTCTCGGACAACCAGCTGCAAGAGGGCAAGAACGTGATTGGGTTACAGATGGGCACCAACCGAGGGGCATCTCAGGCAGGCATGACCGGCTATGGGATGCCACGCCAAATCCTCTGATCTTCCCCCAGCCTTGCTCCTGCCCTCCCTTGGATGGTTTATATATATATATATAAAATACACACACACACAGCCATATATATATATATATATATATATTTTTTAGCAATGATATTCCCTGAAAGCTCCCCTCTGCCAGGGTGGGGGCCTGGCCTGTCTCCTCTTGGGGTGCCTAATTGTGGCCTCTCCCCCTGTGCTTACTAATACATTCCCTTCTCCGAACCCATAAAAACTGGACCAACTGGCCCCCTTTTTTTCCCTGGGACCAAATGTAGGACCTCTTCCTCTCCCTTCATACCTCGTCTCCCATGACCTGTGCACCCTCAATCCATTCCTTGGCTGGGTGTCAACGATGCTGCCTTCGGGCCTTCCACAAATATGCCTTGCTCACAGCTGTGGCTGCAGGGACTTAACTTATAGGGAGGGGCCTGTGGCAGCTGCCACTCCTGCCACAGCTGGACTGGGCTCACCACACATTGGAGGCACCCTGCCCTGGCAGAGGCCCTTTTGGCTTCTCATTTTCCATTCCCCTCACTGTGGCTAAGGGGAGGGGTCGGGTGAAGGGAGAGGGAAGGGAGCACTGCCCACTCTGGGCTGGGGCTTGAAGAATCTGAGTTTGCTGATTTAAATAAAGAATCTCTTTTGTTTTGGATGGACTCTGGCTATGTCTGGGGCCACTGAGCCCACTGTTGGAGAGGGAAGAATATGGGGAAAGTGCAATGACTGAAGAATTTGGGGGAGGTTTTTGAGATGAAAGGTCGCAGTCCTTACCCTTGTCCTTGATTTCCTTTTTCATCTTTCTCTTGGTTTAGGTGAGGGTAGGTTGGGGTTGAAAAGGAATAGGCCCTTCTCAACTCCTCTTGGGCTGGGAGCCATAATGCAGGATATGTGGGCAGTGTCCACAGGGAGCAGGGCCTTCACGTCTCCAAGGAATTGGGCAATCCCGCCAGGTGCTTCTGGCTGGGCTCCTTCCCCCAGCCAGAACAGCTTCTCAGCCACTACAGGGGGGTAGGGCTGGCTATTGGTACAGCCTGTATACTGGTAAGTTTCTAGGGGTGAGGCCACTCAGGCAGGCATGGGGCAAGATAGCCAGACTAGCTTGGGGCCTCAGGCAGGGGCTGCTGTGGTGAGGAAGAACTGGCAGGGAGTTGGTGATAGCTGGAGGGAAGAAGCCTTGTTGATTGATCTCATGAATTTGTGAACTGCATGCTGGGGAGAGCCTAGCAGCAAACTTTTGCTTCTAGAGTTGTGGCCTTGGATGATGATCATAATTTTGGGGTCAGGTTGTCCTGAGCTCCTCTCTCACCCAGGCATGAATGTTTCACCCATATTTCCAACCCTGGGTGTCTCACCTTTACTCCATGGACTTCCCATCAGACCCTGTTTAGAGGGAGAACTTGTGAGACCCTGGGCCAGCCTATCACATCAAGTCTCACCCCAATCAGCCAGCCCAGGGGCCTGGCCTCCATTGTCCCTCCCCCGCTTTATGCTTCCAGGCATCTGTTTCCTTAAGAAGGGAAAGCCCCAACATCGTGCCTGATGGTGACAGATTATGCAGGTTTCATAACCAGTGAGCTTTCATCTTTTCTCCCACCATTCCTCTGCCCTACTGTGGCTCCCTCTGCCAAGAAGCACCTACTGTGTGCCAAGCCCCTGCCAGGGCTGTACAAGAGGTCTACCCAGTGTCTCAGCCTGATTTGACATGCCAGCAAGAAATAGTACTTTTTTTGCTGGCTGCACTCCTCAGGCTGAGGAAAAGATAAGATAGGCTGCAGCCTCTGCAAATTCCCACTCAGGAAGGCTTTATGGAATGCCACAGAGAAAACATTGAATTCATGAATATTTTTACTAAAAAGGCAAAATATTTGCACCCTTTCTTGATTTAACTATAGCTACAAATTATTGGCCACATGCCTCACAAGTTCCTGAGACACACAGAATGTTATAGAGCCAAGAGAGAAACACTGCCTTCTTCCAGTAGATCCCCACAATAATCCATGAGGTGGATATTACTGTTATTTCCCCATTATGTTTCCAGATGAGCACACTGGGTCTTGTGACAAGAAACTTGCCCAAGGATACTTAAAGAGTAAGTGGAGGGACAGGGGTTTGAACCCAGGTCAACCTGCCTACAAGCCTGGCTAAATCTGCTGTTCCAGGGTCAGCAACAAGAGGGGCTGCAGAGGGACGAGGGGAAAAAAGGTGTTGAATGAGTGAATGAATATCATACTATTCTCATGTGCCTAAATTCCCTGGCTGGTGATACACTGCCCTTGCAGCCCAGGGTCTCAGCAACCCTCCTGTTATTGGCTCTCTCAGTTTCCAATGCTTCCTCATTGTTCATTTCCAAAAGATAAAAACCCCCAAAATTGGTCCTCTCTACAGCCAGAGGAATGGAGGTTGGGAAGATGATGGAGAGCAGGGTGTTGCTCTGGGTAAATGGAACTTGGATTGAGGATTTGGGAGACAATGGGAGTGGGCAGAAGGAAGATGGAGGAACCAACTTCAGTTTATTTAATCCTTGTTTTCAGGTTTGAAGTGGAAAATCACTTTGGAGGTAGAGAGAAAGTAGGCTTGGCCCTTTGTGGCCAATGGAAAGGAGAACCAAAGCGGGAGGAGGGAATGTGGAGGAGAAGGAAGTGGTGGTGGTGGTAGGAAGGCTGCAGATGCTCCACCTAGTTTGGCTCACCTGTGGGTAAAAAGGTGAGATCTGTGCAGTTTTTTCCTGCCTCTGTGTGTCCAGGTGTGTGAGAATTCACAAGACTAGGGTTTAGGTGGAGGGGATGAATCTATGACTGTATGTAGAGGCTGTCTATGAGCATGTGTTTACTGAGAGATGGGGATTATGGATGCAGAGAGGTATATGTTCTGTGCATGCAGGTGGGCATGTAAGCATCTGCAAGCTTGCACATGGCTCTGTGGAGAACAATATGTCCCATTCCTACCTCAAGAGCAGAGGGAGTCCTTTGAGAGCTTGGCAAACAGCCCAAGGAGCAGTGGAACAGGGAAAGGGCTGGCCCCAGGGAGGGAACAGTCAAGGGCCTGGTCTAAAGGGTAAATTAGTAATTGTCTCCTCACAAAGAAATAAGTTTTAGTCTTGGTGGTGATGGAGCTAGATGAAAAGAAAATGCACTGGAGTTGCAGCTAGAGAAATACAGGTTAGACAAAGAAAAATGATCTTCTTGATTCTGAAGGTTATTAGCCTCTGGAATCTCTTAAGGATCAGGAGAAAGGTCTTCAATAATAGGACAAATGTCATCTTTATAAAGTGGAAAATGGAAAATTCTGCCTTGGAGTGCTCATATACACCCACTTCTTCATTTGTGCATTCATTCATTCAACAGTTATTAAGATTCTACTCTATCAGGCCTCATGCGGGATATGAAGATTAATATGTGATTTCTGCTCAAAGAGCGCACAGTTCCGTAGGGATGAAATGTAGAAAGCAGTCATGTTAACTCATTAAGCCAGTGATATGCATCTCTGGAGGAATGCAAATGGGGTCTTCTCAAAGGATCAGCTGCCAACCTCTCGGCCTCCTTATTTCCAGAGTGGAGGCAGGTGGTGATGTCATAGCAAGCTGGGGCTACCTGAGTATGGGATCTTTTCCCATGATCTGCCCAGGGCAGTGGGGCTGCAGGTCAGGGGAACTCCTCCAGAAAAAGGAGCAATCACTGGCTCTGTGGTTAAAGGTTAAGTTTCAGTGGAGGGTAAGGGGGTATTCCTTTCTTGCCTGCAGTGGGGGTGGGCAAAGAGGCCTGAGTGAGGATAAAGGCCAGGCATTGGGTAGGGACAGATCAATATGACTGGGGAGAAGGGAAGGGAGTGTGGTATAAACATCTCCACACTAGGGCTGTCATACCATTTCACTCGTTGGCAGGATCTGAATTTTGAATTGTGTTTCCAATGGAGAGATGTGGCTCAGTGTGGGACTGAATGATAATGATGCTGATGGTATTCTTTACCATTTTTCTGCTAGTCATTGTGCTAGGAGATTTACCTGTAGTTTTTCTTTCATTATTTCAAAAAATGTTCCTTGAGCACCTATTCAGGGCAAGACATCTGCTGGATGCTGGAGGGTATAGCAGTAAACAAGACAAATATAGTCTCTGCCCTCCTGGGAGGAGCTAGAAAAGCAAAGAGCCAATTGTGATATACCAGTGTAGTATGTGGTATGATAAGGGGAGCCTAGGAACTGAGAACTCACAGGAAGGGGCTTAACCCAGGAGGGGTGTCAGTGAAGATTTCTGGAAGATGATGATGAACTGAGGATTTAGGACAATTAGAAGCATGAAGAAGAGGCCAGTGGTGTCAAGGAGAGTGTTCTAGGCAGGTGTGAAGTATGTGTACTGACTGGAGGTGAGAATATGCAGCACTGGACTGTAGACTTACATGTTTAGAAGTATGCAGGATGAGGTGCTGAGAAATGCAATGGGAAACGGGGGTCAGGGCCAGATGATCCAAGGAGCTTCAAAGTCAAATGAATAATTTTGGACATTTCATTAAGGGCATGGGGTAGCATCTGAAGGATTTTATTCAGGAGAGTGAAGAGATGAGAGTTGTGCTCTACTTAGAAATTTTCCTTAGACTGCAGGGTAGAGAACAGACCAGGGTTGGGGAGGAAAACTGAGGCAGGTAGGCTCTGGTGGTTACTGCAGTAGCCCAGACTGAAGTGAAAGTGGCCTGGGGTAAGGGAAGGGCCAGTGGGGTGGATTTCAAAATTGCTTAGTGTTCTCTGGTTGACCGCTGAACGTGAAGAAGGGGGAGAGGGGTCCATAAAGACAGGTTTCTGGCTTCAGCGACTAAGCAAGTTGTATTGTCTGTTGCTGGGATGAGAAGTCCAGGAGAAGGGCTTGAGATTGCTACAAAATACAGGGTGGGGCTAAAGTGGGTCAAAAGTAGGTGCAATCACTGGCTCTGTGGTTGTTGTATGGAAAAGAATGCAATAGTTAATAAGTAATAATACAATAATAAACTGTGTTTCATATACTCACAACTGTGAACCTACTTTTGTCTCACCTGTGTTATTCTCTCCCATTTTACAGTTGAGGAAATAGGCTAAGAGAGCAAAAGTAACTTGTAGAACCCAGTTAGTGCTGACCTGGGATTTAAACTTATGATAAAACAAATCCAAGCTAATTGCTCTTCCTATCATGGGTCTTTTCTGTGAAGTGGCTGACCCTGGGGCCACAGTGAGGAAGGGAGAGGTCAGGCCTGGGAAGAGGTGCAGAAGTTCAGCTTTGCAGTGGCTTCCCCTGTGAGGCAAATGCAGATCTGGCAGCTTCAGAAAGGAACTAACGGAGAGATCCTGAGGCCCAGCCCCTGGATCCCACAACTTAGGGTTTCTGTCCTCAAAGCTCCCTGACCTTTTGGAGCCCCGTGACAACCCAGCTTTTAACTCCAGCAATAAAAACCCACCACAACCACCAGGACAATATCAGAAGTCCACTTTCAGGGCACTTCCATAGGTAATAATTTCAGGGAGGCTCATCACCTCTTAGGACGGTTTTAGAATTTTTATACCCTTTGGAGAGAAGGAAGAAACAGAAAACTAGGGGCTGTCAGTGATGTGCCTGGTCCCACGGTTCTTGAGAGTAGAAAGCATACCTTGTGTATCCTCATATGGCTCATGGTCCTCAGAACAG